CTTGGTGAAGTTAGATCCAACAGCTTTTGCAAGAGACCAAAAAGACCTAGAACTACTTGGACAATTCAGCAACCTGTTTTTTATTCTTTGATTGTATGTTTCTTTAGCGGAGTCAATAGTAATTTTGCAACTATTTCTGGCTTCTATAAATTCTGTGTGGTTTTGAGCGGTTTGTTGTCGTTTCCAAAGGTTATATGCTCTGTGTTTTTTCTGTACAGCCGTTTGACACTGGCTGTTGAACCAAGGTTTTGCATTAGCTCTACGTTTAGTTGTATGTGGGATATATGCGTCCATTCCAGATAAGATTACTTGTGTTATTTCATTACAGCAAATAGTGGGATCAGCTGTTTTAAAGCAAACCTCTTGCCATGGAAAATCCAGGTAATACTGTTTTAGGTCATTCCATTTTGCCGATTTATAGTGCCACATTTTACGAGGAAGTGGTTGTAGGCTTGGTGGGATGAGCATTTCGCACTTTGTTATTATAAGTTTATGATCGGACGAACCAAGTGGAGCATCTACTTGAATTGTGTACGAGTCAGGATTGGTGGTTAGGAACAAGTCTAAAAGCGCTGCAAATTCGCCCCTTTCTGAGATACGGGTAGGTTCATCGACAAGCTGCGTTAGACCACAACTTATGGCAAAAGCTTCTGCTTCTCTGCCTTCGTTATCTGTTTTGTTGTGGTGTTTCAGCCAGGGTATATTGTGGACGTTGAAATCGCCTAAAAAGACAATTTCCGCCTGTGGATAGTTTGACTGTATGCTATCACAGCTTTCGGATAATGTCGCGAAAAAGTTTTGGTAATCGGTGTTACTTGGCGGTCGGTAGAGGCAGCAGATAAACTTGGTCGATGACTTTGAGGTGAATTTTAGCCATATGATATCAAGGTTCGCTGGTTCTAGGTCGTTATTTATCTGCGATATTACAGTTATACAAAGTGACATCATCGTCATTGGAAATAACAACAATGTTTTGTATATCAGTCTCCAACTGTTCAAATGCAGCAGCTTCACAAGCAGACAATGGAAACTTTTTAACTCGAATCAGTGGATGTATTTTTTTCAGAAAGCTTATGAATGAATTTGGAATAATGGGTAAATATGCCTTGAACTCCCCTGAGCGAAGCAGTATTAGTAGGTAGTGGCAACTGGATCAGTGGTTTAAGTCTGTCTATATCTGGTTTGATTGATTCTCGTTTTATTGTATGCCCTAGTATATTAATTTTAGTCATGCCAAAGTTGCATTTCTCTTTGTTAAGCGTCAAGTTAAACTTAACAACTTCTAAAAATCGTTTAAGATTTGTATCATGATGCTCTTTATTTTTACCACAGATGGTTACGTCGTCAAGAAATGCATATGCGTCTTCTAAATGGTCTTGTTTGATACTGTTATCCATATTTCTCTGAAAACAAGCAACGCCATTAGTCACTCCAAAAGGAATTCGAGTGAATTGGTATAGATTTTCACATGCTTCAAAGGCAGTGTATATACGTTCATGCTCTAGAATTGGTATCTGGTGATATGCACTATCGAACTGAAATATTCATACTGAGAAATTTGGTTGACCATATCTTTAATCCTGAGTAACGGGTATGCATCCAAATGTGTATATCTTTTTATAGTCAATGAGTAGTTTATAACCATTCGCTTCTTATGATTTTCATTACTGGTCACTAGCACCTGGGCTCTCCACGGGGAATTGCACTTCAGCTTCAATGAATTTTAAATCAACTGTGGAGTATTTGCGAGATTTAATTGCAATAGGCTCACAATTTTCTGCCAAATGTTCAAATAATGGATATGGTTGTACCTTAGCGGTAGTCAAATTACATAATGGAGATCGGTGGTTTGCTTCCCCCGAAACTGAATTCTACTCCTGAATGTTGTTTGAGAATATCATGTCCAATTATTATAATATCAGCAAATAGTTCTTCTAGAATGTAAAGTCTGGTATTTTTATAGATATAGATAGCTTTGCAAAATCCACGTACCAAAGAGTTAAAATTTGAAAATACCATTGTAACATTCAGTGTTGAAGGAACAATTTTCATACGTTTTTCTTTAACAACTGTACCGGAAATAAAACTATCCGAACTTCCTGTGTCGACCAGTGCCTTGACCATAATTCCATTGACTTGCATTTCGATTAGGGCTTTTGATAAACTGACAGGAGAAGTAATTCCAGATAGAGACCTGGGTGAAATGACCTTCCTTTCCGCAGTTGTAACAAATAGAATTTTTCGATGGACATTTATCTCTGGAATGTCTAGATCTACCACAAAAATAGCATTTAGAAGCGACAGCTGCTTTGGCATGGTCATTTTCGATCTGTACATTCGAAGAAGAATTTTCAGGAGTTTGATGAGACATCGAGCATTCATATTTGAACAGAAAGGTATAAGATAAGATTCGGAATGTTGCTGAGCCATTTCAAGTGCTCTAGCAGTATTAAATACTTGTGTTAAGCTCAAAGTAGAATGTTCCAACAGCCTCTGTCTTATATGAGAAGAAGTAAGACCAGTTATGAAAGTATCTCTGATATAATTGTCCCTATTTTGATCTGCATTGACTGCTCCAAAATTACAGTCTTGGCTCATGAGCTTCAGGGCTTGTAAAGATTGATCATTGATCTATAGACTCACCAACTTGTCTGGCAAATATATCATTCATTGGCTTGACACATATGTTTTTAAAAATATCAATCGCATCTTCATAAATGACGCATTCATTAATATATTCAAAAATAGTAGGTGTAACATAATTGATTAGCAGTTTATCTTTATCTTCTTCCACTTAAGCAACTTCCAAAAAATTCTTGAAAGTTCGATTCCAATGAGTCTATTGATGAGCGGCATTGCTGGAGTTGATGTCTATATCCAATCTTTCTGGTTTTAGTAATTTATCCATTCACTTTTGTTAAATTGAAGTAAAAGAAAACCTCTAGAATACAGGCTTTATTAAACTCAGAACAGAATATTACTATCACAGATTACTATACAGAGCATATAACTAATAACAATGATAAATTGTCAAGGTTGACAAATAATAAAGATGACAAGATATAAAATACAGGACATTTTAAATTTCTAAATATATAACAACGATCCTGTTTTTTCTGTCCTTCTTCTTCTGGTTTTTGATTCTGTCTTTGGTCTTCTTGTTGTTGTGAAAGTGTTGCAAGCCGGTCCTGTTCTTTTTGCCTTCGGTCTTCTTCTTCTTGTTTTTCTGTCTGTCTTCGGACTTTTTCTTCTAGTCTTTTGTCGTCCAAATTTTTCATGAAGTTCGCCAACATTTGATTAGCTTACTCTATTTTGGCTGTTTGCTGTTGTGTATTTACCATAGAGTACCTATTCTGCTTCTTTCTTGAAATTTTATTTTGAACTTGAAGTTCTGCGAAGAAGTCAAATTTTCAACTATAGCACGATGGAATGTTCTAGAAAATTACTTTGTGGACTTGTTTTTCGATGTCGAATCCAGTAATAAAGTCACTATTGTTTCTGGTCTTAATTACTATGGAAACTTGCTCGGAAACCAACTGGACTATTGACTGTATAAAAAGTTCTCAAGAACCTCTGAAAAATCCACCTCGAACAAAATCATCATCGTTTTGTTTTTACGCTTGAAGGGTAAAAAACTTTTCCTTCTAAACTTCGCTTCGCAATTTTACCTCGCCAAGGTCCAATGATAAATCAGATAAATTTAAGTTCTCTAATATTGTAATGATTGTCTCAATTGCTAATAACAAACTGCATAAAACATCTTCATCATTTATCTGAGCATCTGCTTATTTGAAAAGCAAATTTTATTTTTTCATGTTTGTGTTTGTTAAGAGGAGCGTTTAAATAAAATGTCATTTACAGACCTTCACTAATTCCTGTTCAATTCCAAATTTAGACCACTTTTTATGAAATGAAGCTATGTTCATAACAATAATAGATTGGAGTAGAAGTTCAAGCATTTTTGGTTGCAAAATACGCATTCTAAATAGTAAAATTATTACCATTTTGTTGACAACAATATGCAAATTTTGGTCACGGATTTAAATGAATAAGGAATAAACATATAGAGTAGCACACCAACAATAAATGTCCAAAATTTCGGATAGTAAAATGCTGGAAAAAATGAATAAAACAGAATTTTCGAAAATTATAATATTTGTATCACAAAATTAATCAAAATCTGTCAAACAACGAGGTGATTGCTGTCATTTTCAGCAAAGACTCAAACCAAACGTTTGTTCAGCGCTTCTCTAAAAGATGTTGCTGAGTTCGGGAAGCATAATAACTTCTTTCAAACGCCAGTAAAAACTGTTTAACCTAGCTAATAATGTGAAATACTACTATTTCATTTGTATCTGAATAAAATTATTTAGTCCTCTGTAAATTACTGTGTAAACAAATTGATATTGAAGATGTCGCAATCTACTTGTAAATAAGTCAATCACTTATAGAGAATTTGAACACCTGTGATTAGAAAATATTTAATGTATGTCATAAAGCCCAAAAGATGGCGTGTTGGTCTTATCTGACGCCCCTCTTAATAAGATTTCTGGGCAATAGAGCATGCTTTGATTCGATTATTAGAAAACACAAACTTGAATTCGATATTTCAATTTTTGAGGGTGTTTTCCACCCTCCGAACAGACACAGGTGTGCGGTTTCGTTCGAATAGCCACAACTGAGGGGCAAGGCCTATATGTTGAACCTTTTTGGACAAAAATTGGCACACTAAGCCTCTGAGAGAATATTTACAGATGCTACTTTCTGTTGATATATATATTGGAAAAAAGAGAAATTCATGGGTTTCTATCTGTTATAATCTTATCACTCAGAAACTTTGTTTTATTTTGACTTAGCCATCGGTAATCAGTGTGGTCTAAAAGCCAGAAACATAGTTATTTGCTAAATTTTGTTTTTCAGACTTGATTGCACATAAATTATTAAATTGAATAATATAAATGTGTTAAATTAATTTGATTTATTTGTTTAATTTTTTCCAGGGAGTTGAACCTAAAGGCATCAAAGAAGAAACCGTCGAAAAAGATAATGGCGGATTTGTCGAAACACCGAGAATCAAAACACCCAAAGGTAAGTAGGTTCTTAAAGCATTACATTTTCACAAAATCCAAAAACCCTTCTCCCTATCTAGAAACCGAAACGTATCCAACTTAAAACTGATGGACAGTTTCCCACCGCTTTACTCTTTGTGTTTTGTTCGAACGTTTCTGGATAAACCTTGTGTTGATCGGCCTAAATAATGAATGGGATGGGAAACACAGCACGTTGCTTTTAGCCAGTGTTTGCTCAAGAGTTTATCTTTCTTGTTACATCTTGCGAGGATGGCTGAGTTATTAGACTCTGTATGAAATTGAATTTTAGTTTCGTTATGAATGTACAGCATTTACTTTAGATGAAATATTGAACAATTTGAATTTTGGTTTATTTTTCAACAATTAATTTTATGTTATTAGTGTGTGAAACTACTAAATGTACAAAATAAATAAGTAGGTACTTCTTACGAAACTTAATCGTAATTTGTTCTAAAATGCATCAATCGGATTATAATTTATGTAGTGTAATCCGTTTTCATTGAGGGGATATTGATATGTCATACATAATCCTCTTTCCAGGTATTTTCAGATTTGTATCATAATCGGTTGCGTGGGTAATGTACTTATTTTCCCGACCTTTCCATCGCACTAGCAACAATATAATACAGAAAAATATTTTATGAAAGCAAGCGGTATTATACAATACAAAAGAGGAACAGGGATAATACCATCAACCACATCAGAAGGGGGTTAGAGCAGATGCTCGGTTTCCAGTTGGAAAATATCGACTCGAGGCAGTGTGTCATCTCATCCACCTTATATTACCCCAGGCAAGCAAAAGCGAGGGCCTATCATGTCCCCGCAAATATTTGTGTTATTTTATTCAGAAATGAAATAGAATCGTGCTTGGGAATAAAGCAGATTTTCTTCTTTGTATGATGGAGGATTAATGTTTTTTTTTTTTGTTCTGGGCTGAAAGTATTAGAGCAAGCTTAGGGTACAGGGTCATGAACGAGAGTCTAAGGAAAGAAATACATTAAATGGCTTATTTCGGATTTTCTCAAAAATACAGGAAAACACAATAGATTTTTACTGTTCACTCCTTGCTTGACAGGGTCTTCATGAATTGCGATTACTTTAAAAGGTTGAAAATATTTCGTTTCTCGTTCATCCTAGTTGTCAACTTCTAGTATTCTATCTTTCTTGTTTGGGGTTGCGTATTCAGTCGAAAGAAAATAACATTGGGAAAGATGTTTTTAGGTTTAGGGTTCTCAAAAGACTGTCTATAATCATTCAATACATACATAAATTTCCTCCAAAGCTTTACGAAAAGAAATCCCGAAAGGTTTATAAATGAATATTCTCTTTAAACCAACTTATGTCATATTTGTACCAAAATTCATCAGTGACTTTTTCCGGGCACATTCTTTAAGAATACTGTCCCGATAATTGCCGTAATCTCATTAAGGAAACGTGGAATGTATTCTTGTCTCCAACAAATGGCTCCCATCTTTATGGGGCGGCACAACCAACTGTGGCCATCGCCATGTGTGGTTTGCACAGTTTTACGGGTTTAATAGCTCAACTCGTTAAGTGAATCGCTTAGGAGCCTAATTTACGACCGCCCAGCACCGCCGCACACACCGTCTTTTTTCCATTATGATAATGTGCGATAATTTTGCTTTATAATAATTTATTTGTCATAACGTTTTTTTTACGACTCTCAGGTGTTTAGTTTTTTCAAATATAGAGTGGTTTCATAGATAAAACACAAACTAGCAACTTTTCTTTTGAAATTGCGATTTGATACTATGGCCTTCAAACCCACTGTAGTTGTTATGAAATTTGCCAGTCCCATGTTCCAAATTGGTTCAGAAGGCTTGAGGGAGTGAAGTCAAATTTGGTTCAGCTTCAGTCTCTTCGACACGGGTGCAGTACAGACTAACTCTCCTGATAGTATGTCGTGATTCACTAAGACTCGAATTGTGTTAGTCTGCAGTTCCCTTATTCTGGTTTCCATAAAGGATGTTACTGATCTGAGAGATTGTTGTATATTTCTTGTTGGCTTGAAGATCATCTTTGTTTTGAGTTTTTCAAGACTTTTCCAATCCTCTCTGTCATCAAAAAGATACATGCAGGTATGAGGTATGTGCTGGGAATCACTGTTTTCTCATTTGAATTTTGACGTGAATACGATTATTGTGTCTCATAGATTCTCCGAGCAAATTCTACACTTTTGACTAGGGTGATAGTTGGAGATATGAATACTTAGTTCCAGAACGAAAACAGGCTCAGAGTTCTTCAGCTCTTGACAAGTATAGGGTCCTAGGTGGTTATCAATATCTCATGAATCGAATTTTTACAGAAGAAGAAACAGCTGTTTTGACAACAGCCGATAAATTTTGCAGTTACTTCACAACATGGCCGGATGCCAAATCTAGTAGAGAGGCAGTCAGTAATCTACCTAAGGTTGAAGCGGAAGAGATCTGTATTGAAACAGTGAACATTCCACAAATTGCTCGACCACCCACTAGTAATCTTTCTAAAAAACAGCTATATGGCTATTAAAAGCTTGAACTCCGATATTGTCAACTACTTAAGTAAATACCACTCTGTACATTAATTTTATTAAAGTGTATCGACGAGTTAATTTGGTATAAATCCCGCGCCGAGATCCATTACTGGCAGACTAAGGCTAGAGCAAAATACCTCAATTGGGAAGAGCCCCTGTAGCTAAGTCTCCTCCCAGTGTAAACTACCTTTATTGGGAAACGCCCTTCTGGACCTGTCTCGAACCCAGTTTCAGTTTTCAGTCACGCCAAGTGTACAGAGTGTGCATAATCTACAGTCTACAAAGTATCCTAAATAGTAGGTCCCTCCGTAAAAGAAGAAGAGACATATTATTGATAGGGTGATAATATTCTATTTTATCAATACATCTTATTGTACCTATACCAAGCGAGTTTCTCTCTACCTGAACAACCCCCAGGTCACGCTCCTGTTGTGACGTCCTAGGACGAAACGTATAGAGGTTGAAGAAAACATTACACCAGAGAACATCATTGAAGAAAAACCTACAACTAAGGTACGAAAACCACATGAAACCAGACCTGCTAAAAGTGTTTCGCAAATCGAAAATGCGACCACCAAAGCGGGATGTATTCGTCATGCGTTGTTATTACATAGCAGCTAAACTTGAAATAATCAAAATAAGATACCGCTTAGAACTTCATAAACTTTTCGTTAAGCAATACCCACATCTTAACCAACACGTAACAGCACAACGACTAATGGATCAAAAAAGGTGTAATTATAAACAACAAGAGACTTACAACATATGAGCTGCAAAATATCAAAGAAGAAGTTGGAGAAATAATTAATGAAGAGCAAGTGGGAAGCCATGAACATGAAGATGTCACAGTAGAATCACCACATCAAACAGAAGAATCACATGACAAAGAGTTCATTTTATTTTATATTCCCAGTGAGAATAATGCAAAACCAACCGAAATTCTCAAAAACATACAACAAAATTTGACGCGGGAAATGGAAACAAATATTATAATATGGATATATAGTGACACAACAAAACTTCCATCCTTACCTCGGCTTATCTTTAAACGAAACAGTCACATTCTTATAAAAATAATGAACGAACAGATCCTCAACGAACATATAAAACCGGAATGCCGTCTACAACAACTTCAAACGATAGTATAATCGGCAGCTTCGACCATTCTAAATGATCAAAAAATAACGGAACATACTTCATATACCAAGAATAGAAAATCAAAAAAACCCAAATGGCAAGTGAGGATAGAATAAAGAATACAAAATCTAAGGCAAGGCATAGGCAGAATAACACAATACCTGCAGGGAAACCGATCAAGAAATATTGTAAAACACATTTGAGACATAATAAAAAATAACCAACAACCAATGCCAGAATTTTTGATACCTTTAAACAGAAACTGTTGGTGTATGTACGAAGATTCTACAAAGAATCAAATGATAGGAAAGCAGATAACCTACATTTCAACACAAACCAAAAATTATTCTATACAATAAACTGACGCAAAAAAGGGAAATAAAAATCACATCTCCTATCGCAACAGATATGTCATCTTTCTGGAAGAGCATATGGTCTGAAAATGTAGAACACAATAGTACAGCCACATGGATTAAACATGAAGAAGATAGGCAATCAAACGTACAAGTACAAACAAATTACAAAATTACTACAGAAGAACTATTCGCAATTATACGTAAAACACATAATTGGAAAAGCCCAGCAACTGATCGAATACACAACTTCTGGTATAAACAATTGTCGGCCATTCACCCATCGCTCATATCTGAAATAAATAAAGTTATTTCACACCCTGATTCCCTACCGGCGTTCTTAACTGAAGGAAATACTTATTTAATATCAAAAGATAATGACACAAAAAAACCTAGCCAATTATAGGCATGTCTACAAAATCTTCACAAAATATTTACTTCATGCATGTATTTTAAAAATGGAGGAACATTTATCAAATGGATTAAAACCGATCAAAACTTACTTACAGAGGAACAGAAGGGATGTCGGAAAAACAAGGTTGTAAAGAACAGCTAATTATCGATAGTGTGATAATGAAACAAGTGGAAAAACAGCACAGAAACCTACATACGTGCTACATCGACTATAAAAAAGCATTTGTCACGGTCCCACACTCTTGGCTAAAAAAAGTATTACAAATCTATAGAATACTCCCAATACTCTGCAATTTTCTCTCATTAACCACGACGAAATGGAAAACAAAAATTCATTTAAATACAGACAATGAGCATTTGCAAACAGACCATATACCCGTCAACCGCAGAATTTTCCAGGGCGACTCGCTGAGTGCACTGTGGTTCTGTCTATGCCTAAATCCTCTATCTAACGTTCTAGACTCAAAATCATACGAATTCAACATAAAGCAGGAAAATAAAATAAAACACAAAATAAACCACCTACTCTACATGGATGATATCAAAATCTATGCTTCAACA